CAAAGCACCACTCGACTAAACGTTCACACGTCTAACTCTAAGTGTAACAGTTACTTGAAGTCTTTACTGGACTGCTGCTGCCTAGATTCGCCATCAGTCTCACGGGTGATATTACAATCAATATCATACGCTGGACAGACATGCAGAACGTGCTGAAGCGGGCAACGATTATGCATGACATTCAGTGTGAATGAGATCACAAAGCCAAGGACATACATGTATTGTAGACATAGAATAATGGAGCATCACGTTCTGCGTGATCCCTTTACATGACGTCATGGCGTGCCAAGCAGACGTCATTTCGGCTGGTAGTCTGCTACATGTATACAGGCCAGGATGATGTACGTTTCCAGCACGTCCGTCCACGATTGTATTGTACAAGACAAAGTGTTAGTCACCTAGTGCTTCGCTTGGTATGTGTGTGTGGGGGGGTGGAAGGTATTGCTATCAGCATGCGCGCCCGACCGAAACAGTTACTCTGCGCGAAACCTTCTCGAACTGGGAAAATGCAACATTGCAAGTACATGTAATGCTCACTTACTCCTTATCGTGATATGAATGTGCGGCAGTGAGCGATACTGTTTCTTCCAACCCCGAGCATGGGGAAATAGGACATAGGGCTGATGAACGCATTCCAAAAGCTTCCTAGTCCAGTGCAGGCAGTGAATAGTGCATGCAGGGAATCTAAACCTCCCATAACGCCTGTACATGAAGTTGCGGAGATGATGCTCTGGCCGGCGGGATGTACTTGTATATGTTACTGTACCATAGTGCAGCGGTGATGGTTACAGAGGGAAAATACCCTGCAAGGACCAGTATGATTCGCATTTCCAACACACACACACACACACACACACACACACACACCACACACACGCACGCGCGCACACACTCGCATACATACATAATATGCGAGTGTGTGCATCGAAGGTATCAGCATAGGCACACGACCGAAACAGTTGCCGTGCGCGAAACCTTCACGAACTGGGAAAATGCAAGCATTATACGCACACAATATTTGCTCATGCATACGTACACCAATCTTTCCCCATATCTCTACACCGGGGAAGTTTTACGGCGGGAAATCCTCTCCAGAAGCTTTTGTGCCGATCTCTCGCGTCTTAGAAGTACCCTCGTGCACAAGTTGACAAAGAATTACGATCTGGTGACCTGCACTCTCGCTTTCGCTCATGCTTTCGTATGAACGGTGGAGCTCACACTCACACTCACAGGCTCTCCTCTGAGGGAAAGATTGTATGCAGTCATAGACTAAAATAGACTTTGGCTTTTCATGGGATAATTCTTGAAAAGTCCCCTTTACCTGCTTCAGTTCGGACAACTTCGCCAATGTTCGCACAACTTCGCCAATGTTCCCACTTATCGCGCAAGTGGTTCAGGTGTTTCGTTAGTGCCGAGCCATGAGACAAACGTACAACCGACGATGAGTTGAATCCGTCCGCCAGCCACCTATAACTATGGGCAGACTTCGCATTGCAACATCAGTTTGTCTCAGGCCTCACTGCTTCGCTAAAACGACCTGCAACGCGCAAGTTGAAGTTTCTCTGATACTATGGCGTCTTGCATATTTCTTGGAGGGGCCGTCCACCCCAGATATGTTGGATACGGAGAACAGGAGCGTCAGATCCGGATGGCTACATCGGTAAAGAATGACATAGGAGAGATGTTCAAGTTTGCCGCGGGCCATTCTCAGGTGGTGGTAAACCGACAAGGAAGTGTAAGTGATATGGCCCATCGAATTAGCAAGACCTTGTACACTCTTGCCTCGTGCTGCTGAGTATTCCACATGCATACGGTATAGACAGGCGGTGCGTGAATTTGTAGTGAATCAACCACGGTACTATGCTTGCCCAGTCTCTGCATTGAAACATCCCTTCGAAAGGATTCAGCGAATAAGCATATTTACAGAACTGTAGTGCTTCAACAGAATCAAGAAACAATTCATTCTTTTTTTGTTTTTGTTTGGTAGGTTCATGGATGTTCATTGAGATGCTTTCGGATTTGATGTAAACAATGCTGCAGAATTTGGAGATGGTGGATGTCCCCTTGATTTTATATTGATGTAGTTTTCATGTCTTAATTTGCGACAGGTTTATCGCCACGACATGAAGGTCAAGTCAATACTGCTGAACGAAGACATCAGCAACGAACTTCACCGTCAGGTATCCAGCACAGTGACAGGCGTGGGTGGTGCACAGAAACCCCTCTTTGATTCGGCTACCCTTAAACCCTACACAAGCAAGTACTCGGTGAGTGCGAGGGGCCAGATTTACCCATCTGATTCTCATCAAACTTACTTTTTGTTGTTGTTGGTGGTGGTGGTGGTGGTGGTGGTGGTGGTGGTGGTGGTGGTGGTGGTGGTGGTGGTGGTGGTGGTGGTGGTGGTGGTGGTGGTGGTGGTGGTGGTGGTGGTGGTGATGGTGGTGGTGGTGATGGTGGTGTTGTTGTTGTTCTTGTTCCTGTTGTTCTCATTGTTGTTGTTGTTGTTGTTGTTGTTGTTGTTGTTGTTGTTGTTGTTGTTGTTGTTGTTGTTGTTCATATTTCTGTTATTTTTGTTTGGCTTGTGGATACTGCCGTTGTTGTGAATTATCATTCATGATGTGTGCTGGTGGTGTTGCTGCTACTGATGATGGCGGTCGTCATCGTCATGGTGCTGCTAGTATTGTTATTGTTGTTGGTGGTGGTGGTGTTGGTAGTGGTGGTGGTGGTGGTGGTGGTGGTGGTGGTGGTGGTGGTGGTGGTGGTGGTGGTGGTGGTGGTGGTGGTGGTGGTGGTGGTGGTGGTGGTGGTGGTGGTGGTGGTGGTGGTGGTGATGGTGGTGGTGGTGGTGGTGGTGGTGTTGGTGGTGGTGGTGGTGGTGGTGGTGGTGGTGGTGGTGGTGGTGGTGGTGGTGGTGATGGTGGCGGCGGTGGTGGTACCACAACAGCTGCTGCTGATTTGTTGGTTTAAATTTATGTTACATAATGTCGAAATGAATTTAGCTTAGCTCATAGCGATTGCCAAATTCTAACTTGCTTGCTTTCCTGCGTGTGTATTGCCTGCAGGTTCGTCATGAGATTCGTTCCTTTCTGCAGAATGATTTGAGTAACAACCTAATTATTTTCATGACGGGGCATGGTGGACAGAGAATGGGGAAAGATGGTAAGGTGGTAGAAAGCTTTCTGCTGCCACAGCAAGGATCGGCTATTACTGAGAACTATACTGATGCTGACCTCACGCAGGACATTGTGAACGCCCTACCGTCCCACAAGAAGCTCTACATCGTCATGCACTGCTGCCACTCCGGTGGTATGGTCAATTTCTGGCAGCTGGACACAAACAAGCAGGTCGCACTTTTCGCCAGTGCAGAAGCCGACCTTCTAGCCGAATGGAGCTCTGAGGGCGACACAAACTTCGTCGGCACGTTCTGCTCAAAGGCCGGCTTAAGGGCCAGGAAGCGATTGAACGCTATCGCAGACGAAATTTATCAGACCCTCCATCGCGTTCCCACCATCCGGCCGGTTTTCAAAACAACTCGTCCATCTATGGCAGAAGAAAGGTTCTTGTCCTAGAATAAAACGTTTGAACAACAGAACAATACTGTTTTCAACGTGAATGATGGATTTATGCTAGTTTTGTAAAAGTCTATTCTCTGTAAGTTATTTTAAAAGCCTGTACAATACCTGTACATTGATATGCAAGTTGCCATATTCTCAACTAAACTAGTACATTGATATGCAAGTTGCCATATTCCCAACTAAACTAGAACTTGCACATGAACTACTATACTTTGGGTATCCACAGAGTAAACATTGATTCGCTTAGTGATTGGATTATCAGCCTATTTCAAAGTTTTTCTTGGTAAGATCAGCAGATTCTCCACTGATTTCGTATACTCACATTAGACACCTTATGCACAACATCATGCATCATTCTTATCTCTATTATTATCTGGATTGAACGTATTTCTCCGTACCTAACACCATGCGATCAATGACGCTGATCTGCTTTTTCAATGGTGATTTGAACACTGATTTCCATGCGGAGCTTGAATGAGTGATGCCGTTGTATTCGTGCAAGCAAGAGTACATAACCGCCAGGGGTTATGTACTCTTGGTTATACAGCCTCTTTTACGAGCACAATAGACACAAAGAACTCTTGTACTCCTGGCACAACCGAGCTGAGTCCAGAATCACGACTGGCACCCAGTTGTTTCGCCTTTTGGTGGGATCATCCTAACACCGCGACAAGTCAACTACATGTACATATGTCATTGTACATTCTACTCCTCTGTAGTCGAGTGGACATGCACACGGACATGCCTTGTTGAACTGAATGGTCTGCACATTTTGACTGGAGCTCTCCGGGCTGCACATCAGAGAACGAATACAATGTTAACATGTACATGTACGTGTATACACCTCCACACTGGGTATAAGGTAGTGGAAGCAGGCAGCACCATCATGGGATTCGAGATATTCCCCCCTGCTCCGCTCGTGACTGAGATCTTCTATGACCTCATGCCTTGGCCCGAAGCCAACACGGTGGGTTGGGTGGGGATAATCCAATGCTGGTTAGCTTTCGAACAACATATGTGGTGGTAGAAACTTCGACGATACCGATCTTGTGAGTTGTGACCCTTCACGGGGATTACTGTTGGTGAGTAATGGCTTTCGAAGTCGTAATTTTAAACATTGAGTTCTTTGTCTGAAACGTGTTCTGAACAGGAACTCTGCAGACATACCTGAACCAGCCTTACCTATTTCATGGTCCAGTAGGCATACAGGTGAACGTGCAGGAACGTTCCAGAAATCATCCAAGAACGTGATGATATGGGCACGGTCATCCACGTCGACCTCAAGCTATGCCCTTCCCTTCAACTGGCATGTGACCCATCACGTCCTAGACTTCGGTAGTACGGTACATTCCCCCACACCATGCCATAACACGTGAAATTCATCACAGCAGCACGCTCAGATTCTATATAAACCCACCACGCTCGCATCATTGGTCAGGCTTTTCCAGAGTGTTGGTCGTTCAACTTGACTCTAAAGAACCACTTCATCGAGCCCACAAGCTGGAGGAAACAGCTTGCTTGCAAAGCAAACATTTCCTGACGAGCAGAAGAAAGGTCGTGTTCAGAAACACGTCATTGTACTTATGCTAGCCAGCTTGAATCGTCTGAAATGAGTGCATCTTGCCTGTTCCTCGGCGCTGCCGTTCATCCACAATACGTTAAGGACAATGAGAGAGAAAAGCAATGGCGAATGGTCAGCGCTGTGCAGTCGGATATAGAAAGCATGTTCAATTTCGCTGCTAGCCATTCAGATAAACAATATCGAAGGAGAGGAAGACCGGTAAGATTCAGATTTCTTTAGCTCGTACAGGACGATTTGGTGCTGTGTACAAATACTAATCTCGATATGCGAATCCGGCAAGTGTCTGAAAATTGAAAACCATTTACATGAATGTGTTTAGCATGCTTTTACTTCACATTCGTTCTGTAGAATTACATTCACGATGTGCAAGTTAGCGGCGTGCTTCTCAACCAAAACCTCTACGACGAGCTCGAGGATCCCATAGCACAAGGGCAGCGTCAGAAGCAAGGTGCAAACCAATCGCTCTATGAGAAGATGGATGACAGGAACCGTTTTCAGCCCTATACAAATTTAAAACAGGTAAGATGTGGGACTCGTAGCACTACTAGATTCGGTTACGAGCATTCGATCGGCAGTGAATTGGCTGTTCGAAGCGGGACAAGGAGGGATTCTGTGAAAGAGGATGAATCTAAATCTACTTAGCCCTAATCTTTGCGCCAATTATGCTCACCCCTTTCAGTACAAAACTGTTGATTTTAACTATCTAAGCCATTCTACAATATCTACCTTCACTGACGAGAGTTTTATACTCAAACAGCTGTATGGAGGAATTCAGTACCAACGGATGTGTCGCTTTGCTGGTGGTGGTGTGCTGTGGCAACGTGTCGAGGTTGGCTGGAGAGCGCAGTGATGGTGTGGTGGTTGATGGAAAAATTATTTGAAATCACATTTCTTGCTATTTACAATGTACAATGTAGGAGGCTCCCCTGATACGCTAAGCATCCCTTAACAACAACAACAACAACAACAACAACAACAACAACAACAACAACAACAACAACAACAACAACAACAACAACAACAACAACAACAACAACAACAACAACAACAACAACAACAACAACAACAACAACAACAACAACAACAACAACAACAACAACAACAACAACAACAACAACAACAACAACAACAACAACAACAACAACAACAACAACAACAACAACAACAACAACAACAACAACAACAACAACAACAACAACAACAACAACAACAACAACAACAACAACAACAACAACAACAACAACAACAACAACAACAACAACAACAACAACAACAACAACAACAACAACAACAACAACAACAACAACAACAACAACAACAACAACAACAACAACAACAACAACAACAACAGCATGCGATCTTTCCTGTGCTTTCATTAGGTACGTGATTCCATTCAAAACTTCCTGGCCGGAGAGGAGGAGGATTATTCCCCCGACAATCTCATTCTCTTCATGACTGGACACGGAGGCCAGCACAAGCCTGGCAGAGTTGTGGAGGAGTATTTCTGTCTACCGAAACCAGGCTTGTCAGCCAATCACTCTGCTGTGTACACAGACACCATGTTGACAGAGGACATCACAGAATACCTTCCCGCTGAAAAAACTCTGTACTTGATCATACATAGTTGCCATTCAGGCGGGATGGTGAACTTTTGGAAACTGGACCCCGAAAACGAGAAAGTCGCGTTGTTTGCTAGTGCCGAGGCGGACATCTGGGCAGAATGGAATGCCGATGACACACCTAGTTTCGTTCAATCCTTCTGCAAACATGCAGAGATTGGCAAGCAGCTCTGCAGTATAGCCGGAGACATCTACCAGGAGCTGTACAGCGTTCCCAAAATTCGGCCTGCCTTCAAAACAACAAAACCAGAGATGGCAACCGACCCTTTTCTAGAGTAGATTAAGGCACTCTTTAAATTAAAAGGACTCTCTAGCCTTCGGCCAGTAATCGCGCAATTACGTAGATCTGGACCCTGCTCAATAGTGTAGCATTGTTTTCTCTAGTTCGTGCTTTTTGTTTTTGCTGCTTTACGTATTCTTAGTTTCTGTTTACATTACATTAATTTTTAGAATCTGTTTATATTTTCAGCAACGAACTAGCCCTGTGAATACTATTGCGTTTTTATTGTTTACCTTTTTACATGTACTTCTGTTTATTTTTATTTTGTTGTTCTCGGCGTTCCAAAGTCTCAGCGTGAATCATTAATGCACAATTTACATCTTTCAAAGCATTCGTCTAGGGATTGAGTTTGAATCTTTTACACAACCTTGTTACATCTGCCTTGAGTTTCTTTGGATTAGACTTTCTCAAATTTTCATTTTGATTTCATCGTCGAGTTTCATCCCTTGTATCTTTGGTGTTCTTCCTTCTTTCCATGCCGTATTGTTTGAATACACCCGTTTTGAAAGCCTTGAAATGGTGCCACAGCTGCACTATGTGGAATCTGTGTAACACTGCCGTGTACATGTACTTCTAAAGCACCTGCATGTGCAATGGCCTCACCCAGTAAGCACTACTTGCAATTTAGTTGCAAACGTTCGTATGTCTTCCACTTTCGTTAGTCACCTGGCCATATAAATAACTTACACCAGAAATGTATTGTGTACAAGTACTTGTATTCATGACCCGTACGCATTACCGGTGGTCATCTGAGTTCTACGTAATGTGCTACCTTTGTCAAGCCCCATAATACTGCATACTTCAGTTGATTTGTTGATGCTACCATGAAGTTACATGTAGCTCCAATGCATGTGGATATACATGTACATGTACAGATAATAATGATCAACACGTTTAGACAATTTTAATAACAGGGTGACAACACCATAGTATTGCAGCCTTCCCATAATTATGGCATTCAATTGACCGTAACTTTGGTGTCTCTCAATGCATTTGAGTGAAATTTTGACCACTATGCTGGCCCTCTGGACATGATTTAAAAGTTCTTGCGCCTCACTGACAGGCTTTCCAGGCTGGAAAAACTCAAAATCCCGGCATAGTGCCACGGTGTGCGAGCCACCCATGAGCCAATAAAAATTAATGCATTTACAATTTTTTCACATTTTCGTGCCCATTCTGTCCGTGCGCGGGATCCAAACCTAAAACAAGTCCAGAAGCAGCCATGGGTGGTGGGGTAGGGCCCCTCAACGTAGCCCTGGAATCCGTCACAACGGAACGAGTGGGCGTTCTCTCACAGACTCCCACAAACCCAAGTCAATTTTTGAATTTTTTTAGGTTTAGCACGTGCTACGAGGTCGTACCTTTGATACAACATCCAGTTCTGGGACCTCCACAGCAAGCCATTTCCACAGCGCTGCACGCCAAATCCAGGATACCCTCAAAAACCGGCAGAGACTACCACTCACGTTCCACTAATATTCGCGGGATCCGCGTTAGCATCACTTGAATGTTCAGAAACACATAAGCTATAGCCTTCGCTTCCGCAGGCCACCACTATGCCTTTACACCTTAGTGGCGAATGCAGACCTCACAAGTGAGTCAGGGGGGAGGAGGTGAGTCTCTCAACCAATTGGGCGTGTAACGGCCCATATTCCCATAACCCTGTAAACTGCATCCGTTCCACTACTGCCTAGTATTGAATCCTACCTGACTTCTTTACACGACTCAAACTTGCCAAAGTCACTAAATCAGCGTCGACTACAATAATCAAGCCACATATCTGCAACGTCACGAGGGTGCTGGCAAAAGTCCTGCTGCACGGCGGCGGGCTTTGCCCGCCGCCGTGCAGCCCAATACGTGGCTAAAAAACGTGATTTTTTGGACTTTTTTGGACTTAATTCTGCACACTTTCGCATGTTTCCATGGTACGACAAGTTGCGCATGGTCTGCTCACATTCAAATACAGTGCTGCCAACAAATGACAGCGTGCAACAAAAAAATCTTTCCTTGCAAGGGCACATTTTAGGCCATAACTCTTGTCGTCTTGAACGGCTGGTCAGATCGAGACAAGATTTTCAGAGATTTTGAATCTGTTCATGGTCTTTCAACTGATGTAGCACTCGATATGAATTTACAAATTCGACTTTTCAGGGATTTTACGACCAGTCTGCCCCCTGAATTTTTAGCACATAGTATTATAATGTACATGTACATGTACATGTAAAATACATTGTCCTCTTGATGATAGTACAGCAATACTGGTAATATAATGATCCTGACGGCATAGCGTCAGCTGAGAGAGCCCATGCGTGTGAAGTGGTTGTCATGCAGTGCACTCGGGGTAAATGGTTGTCATGCAGTGTAAGTGAACTTTTCTCGCCACCAAAGCCCGCCCGCCCAGGTGGCCTTTGATTCAACAAAACGGGTCTATTCAAACAACACGACATAGAAAGAAAGAAATTCACGGTTCGCGTGAGACTCGGCTGGAAACCGAGTTTTCCGCACCCGTAGGAACGCCACCACCCTTCAAGGATCAAGGCGCAGATGCAGCTCCTTAATCGGTGAGAGGTGAGCAGATCAGCTCACCAGCAAGTGGTCAAAGACCGAAAATCCCATTCACTGCATCCATGTTCTCCTCCTGCCAAGCCACGAGTTCCCAATTAACTGTGGGTCGTAGCAATAGAAAGAAGGAAGAAAAGAAAACCAAAGATACAAGGGATGAAACTCGACGATGAAATCAAAAATTTGAAAAGGTCTAATCCAAAGAAACTCAAGGCAAATGTACCAAGGTTGTGTAAAAGATTCAACTCAATCCCAAGACGAATGCTTTGAAAAGATGGGAAGTGTGCATGGATGAAAATAAAATAGAAGTACTTCGAAGTAAAAAAAAAAGAAAAGAAAAACAATAGAAAAACAATAGAAAACGCAACAGTAATGCAGAAAAAACATGAGCAGCTACACAAAGTTCCAAAAGGACCTCAAAAAGACACAGCAAGAAAACATAGAGTCAATGACAAGACATAATTCATTAATGCGGCCGGTGAGCTAAAGCACGACACTCCGTGACAAATTGGCGACGTCCGCTGGCACCCTATCCACCGCGTCTGTAAGCTAGACGCCCGCGAACCCCGGAAGCAAGTTATCTGCCGCCGCACGAGAGATACTGATCCTGTATCGTAAATGACGGATTATGTAGGCATGGGGAACATCACGGTTTTTGTCGTGCAGCTGAGTCGAGAGGGTTTTCAGAAAAATGGTACTCTCTGGGGCACACTGCCCGTTGGTGGCGAAAACCAACGGAGTGAAGGAACCCCGGTCCACCAGATTAATCCGTTCAGAATATTGCCGCTTCTTCTGACGCTCGTGTTGGCTGAGCTGACGTGCTACTTCTGGACCCGACAGCAAAGATGGCCTCGGGTGAGTTACCCGTACATCAAAAAGGCATTTTGCTGCCTGGTCTTTGATTCATGATTCACCGATCCCAGCTCATGATGTTACTTGAGAAGACGTTCAGTCGTGCTTTGCAAGCTATGCTGCTTTAATGATCCGAATGAGATATCTACTAGGATGGCCACTTCGAGAGTCAACAGGAGTCAAACCGTGATGCCGCTGGCAAGCGATCCACAGCGACAGCAAGCCGGTTCTACCATGCATGTGTATGGAGACTCTGGTGCAGAGTGATGGTCGAGTCTGAAGGCGCCAAGAAAAGAAGCAAATTGCATTCCTGACTCGGAGCACCGTGAGCTGAAGTTATGTCCCCGGGGAAAATTGCGATTACGCGGCCGCGTTTTTTTCCGCGTTTTTTGCGATTTTTTAAAAGACCGCGTTTTCCGCGATTTTCCCGCGTTTTTTGAACTTTTTTGTTGCACTACACGTACACACAGTGCACTGTTCGGTCAGCAACGTCTCATCGTGGCGGCTTTTTACTCAAATATGACGAGCGCTTACACCAGAGGCAGAGACTTGTAACTGATTGATTTCACTACATACTCACTGAAAATTGCCGCACATCAATATTATTCACCGCATATTAACCGCATATTTACCGCAAATTATGCCATATTATGCCGCGTTTTTCCCCGCGTTTTTTGCGATTTGCGATTGTGAGAAATGGAAGCAAAGAATTCGTATTCAGCCTCAGCTCAAGTGCTGGAATTTGAGCCCTCCAATTCCGCACTTTCGTCCCTGTACCCATGCTTGATTCCCACAGCACAGCCTTTCACGCTTTGGGCAGTGTAGTTATAGTGATCATTAGGCGATCAGCGTCTCGCACTCGTACATCTACTCGCCTCGGAAGGTTCTAAGTTTTAGTTAGCTGTGCGTGTCTTGGTTGCGCTCACACTCCCTTCCTATGTTACCATAATTATAACTACTAGTACTTAGAGCCTTCCAAGACAAAAATAGTAATAGTTGGAAGGCTGTTGGAGTGCGCATCCAAGATGTGCTAGAGCGGATAGCCAGTTACATGTAGTTGTAGAACGTCAGTACCGTCGGTCAGTGTCGTGCAATGTTATCGCATGAGCTGATCGTTTAGTAACTGGTGGTATTAGTGGACATTATAGCGTAACTTGTAGTTCCTTGGTCCTTTTCCTTTCTGTCAAACTATAAGAACTAAGACAAGCACCACCTCACATATGCCCCTCCACAACAATTAAAAAACCCTTTGAGCACGCATGACGTATTATTACGTCGGGAGTACGAGTGTACATAGCGTACAAACGCGATTTGCATGAACCGCGTGAGTTAAAACTATCGTAACTCGGTCAATTCCTGGCCGATTCTCATGATCGAAATATGAATCTGCAAGAGAAAACTCTCAGCTTGCGATAGAAACAATCGTAGATTCCGCTAGGACCCGCAGGGTCCGACGTGGAATCGGGGTTACACGAGGAGTGAAGGCGAAGAATGTGACAGTGTGTTTGGCCTCAAATCGCTCTAGTTTTCCATAAATTTCCAGCGGTTTAAAGATAAAAATGCAAATGCACGCCTTGATTGCACCTAGCACCTCTTGCTTTCCTTGGCCTTTTCTGAGCGACCAAAATGATAGTGCAATCAAGAGTAGTGACAGTGAGGGGTGGGTGACACCAGCACAATGGGCGGGAACACACTGTCACATTCGGTGAGACCGTCGTCCATCGACAGTGGACGGGTGGTTTGAGTGTGGCAAGACACGCGACAGGGCCTGCCCACTGCCGTGATAGAAGCCGCCGCATATCCGCCATGTCCGCGTCGTCCATCGATGGGGTTGGATACCAGTTACTTGTTAGTTGTAGGTACAGAGATTGGCAAGGCACTCGTCAGGGCCTGCCCAATGACGTGACGGAAGCCGTCTGTTGATGTTGCTACGCGCTAAGCGCAGAGCCTTGGCAAGGCACTCGAAAGAGCCTGCCGAACTCGTGAAGGCCGCCCTGACCGAACAGGGAAATCGTGACTCGGGGCATGAAACAAGGCACTTGTCGGTGCTTGCAAACCCACGGAACCATCGCAGCGTCGCCATCAGCATTGGCCGCCGAAAAG